GAATGATTTTCCATTCATTAATGCTTTTCCTGTTCCATCACTACAAAGTTCTCCAAACTCAAGGTCCTTTTAATTTAATATCACAAGTTCTAGAACGTAGTTGGTTTAGTTTTTTTTTAGAAAGCTTATTTAGTAGACACTTATATTTTAACCATTATAAATCTCATTGGACTACCTATTGTCAGGGAAACTTTAACTTGGATTTAAAATCATTTTTCTAAATTGTTTTCTTTTTTATTATTTATGGCCAATTTTCTCCCTATTAATCCCCTCTCAGTTACAGGGTTTTACAGGTGCTTGGTCATAAAATTGGAAATGAAAGACTTGGAGTAGCTTTAGATTTTCCTAAAGTCAATTATTTCATGAGTGTCATGCGATTTAAACTTATCTTGGAACAAATGTCTTTTTAAATCAAGCTTTAATAACCCTGGGAGACGGGGGAGGGATGCTGGGGGAATGTTACCATTTTGGCAATCCCTTTGTGTGGATTAAAAACTCAAATCAAACTTTAGAAGTCAATCAGAGGCTGTGACTTTCCACTGGGATAACTGATTACATTTGTTTAAAATTTTAATATATAGAAGATTCAGAATTTTTAAAAAATCTAAAAATTCTGAAATGTAGCCCAGCAGGGAAGAAACACAAGAATCTGAGCTAAGATTTTTTAAACCTTCAAGATAAATATTTTAAAGTTTATTTTAAAGCTCCTTTTTTAAAATGTAAAAATTCCATCGACACTTTCTTTTAATTACTTTCAGTGTATTATTTATCAACTGATAAGTGATGAGCTGTTTTGTTCTGTGTCTTATCATATAAAGTTGTTTTAGAGAGAAATTTAATAAAATCAAATGTGTCTGAGAAACAGATGAATCCATTATATCGAAGGTGAATTCATGTCTTTATTTTCAAATAGATAATTTAAACCAATCATGACACCATGAAAATTAATATTTGTTTTCCCTCAATATTGGCACACAAAGTAGTATTCTCAGGTACAATTTCCAGTTACAATAACATGAATATATATTGATGTAGCCTATTATCTCAGCAATAATGCATATTAAAAGGAGATTATTTATTACCAGTAAAGTGTTTCTCCAGGGCTTAATTTAGATCTCCTGAAATAACAAAATCTCAGTGTTGAAAGTGATCCTCTGTATAGTTATTATTTAGGGAAAAGATTATTGCTCTCCAGCAGTTTGAGATACTAATTGAACAGTTCTTAGATATGAAGGAATATGGTATAATACATAGACCTTGAAGGCTGATATGAATGAACACATGCAGTACTAGAAGCCAGGCTTCTTGGAATGATTGGGAGGTTTTAGCTCAGAAGTTGCAGAGGTCATTTCTCTCATGCTCAGTCATATGCCCAGGACTTTTGGGTATCCTGCTACTTTAGAAGCTTCCACCCATGCCACAGGCTTCCACATGCAGATAGAAATGTTGGGTAGGGATGGGTTAATCCATCTAACTGTACTCGTTCATGATCAGGGAGCAAACATCAGGTCTGGGTGGATGGAACTATGATGGGGTTATGTTGCAAAACTTGGCGGAACCAATGGGTTAAAGCAGGCTGATTTAGAAGATTTCAGCACTGTGCAGGTTAAATCTACTTTAGACTTCACAAGCAACAGAAGAGTTTGATTCCTGCAAGTTCTTGTGACAGCAAGACAAGCTTCTGGTCCTGAAAATGCAGAGGCACAGAGGAGCTCAGGTATGCAGGAGTAAGATAAGGATGCAGGTCTCAAACTTCTGAGTCACAGATTCAGCCTGATCAAAAAGCAGACAGTGATAACCCACTTACCAGATTCAGGAGTGCAATATCACAATGGGCATTAGAGCAAGGCTGACTTGATGCTAAACCCCCAAATGTATCCCTAAAGGCTTCCTACACTCTCCCTGACCAGAAATGGAATTGATCATAGAGCCTGGGGGGGG